GTCCTCGCCCCGTGTCCACAGCGTAACGTTGTCCTCGCCCTGTGTCCACAGCGTAACGTCGTCCTCGCCCCGTGTCCAGTGAGCTGTGCGGCGCTGGGTTAGCATGTAGCAGGAGCACGACTTCACTGAGGCTTCATTCACATCAGCAGCTTCTGATGGACCATGGACTGTGTGGTGGAGGTCATGAGTCCTCAACACGACCTTCTCTGACAAGTTTGTTCAGACTCATGAAGAGATGAGCGAAGAGATGAGCGCACCTTACTGACCCAACGAAACAATAAAACATTGAAGAATCTTCACCTGCAAGTTTCATTTGTTGGTTCAAAGTCGACACTTTTCATACGTTCAGAGAAACACGTGTTTTTATGATTTGAACCAGTCGAGAACTTTGACATTTGATTGACAGATCAGTCGTTAAACTGAGTAAACCAGGTTAGAACGAGAAAGGTGAAGTTTAACAAACCTCTTCAGATTCTGTGTCCACTCGTGGTGTTTGAGTGAACAGAACTTCCTAAAGATACAAACTCTTAGTTTTTCACCGTTGGAAACTTAACGTCCAACAGAACCACGTCCAGATGTGAGTGAAGAACCAGGAGCATCTTCAAATACACAAACTGCGTTTGATTTAGAACGTAATTAATAAATGTAGAACGATGCACCAGTTGACTCGTTCCATCACAACTGGTGCATTTTCTTTTGAACTTGGCGCAGACAAAGTGAAACAGGAAGTGACATCAAAGAACTTCCAGGTTAAAACATTTTAACCGATTCAAAATAAACCAAAGATCAATTCTTGTCACGCAGGCGCTCCCTTTGACATGACTTCCTGTTAATGACATCACTTCCTGTCACTGCATGCAGATATCTAGATCAGTGGCTCCAACAGCTCCCAGGACAGAGCGAACAGAACCTAGTTCTGGTGGAGGCCCGGGTTCAAGTGGACCAAGAAAGGAGAGCAGCTGGTTCCTCGCACGCTGAAAAACTGTTTGAGGACAGAAAAGAACCGAAACACAAAACAAAATCTAATAAATGTTTAATTAGTTTGACAAAGTACATTTAAAACTGTAACTTTTAAACATTTAGCTCATCAAACTTTCAGACAGAAAAGTCTCCAAGTGTTCACCTTATTTTGTTTTACACGTCGGGACAATTATTAAAACGTCATTGATGAAACAGCGAAATGACAGAACCGCCGCGCTGACGGGAAACTGGAGCTGCGTCCCAAACTAAATAAATACTCGCGAGCTTTGGGTTCGACAAGAACGCTCCAAATCCAAACTTTAAACACGTTCGCTCCAGAACCTTCTCCAGTCGGAACGTTCAGAAGGTTCTGGCTGGAGAAGGTTCTGGAGTTCAGGGCCAGTTTCCAACAGGGGGAGTACTGTAAGGCACGGTTGGATGATCTGCAGCTGTAAAAACATCTGCTCCACTTCCACTGAATCCAAACTCACTGCATTCATCTGTGGAGAGTTGAGTCAGAAGAGTCGGGTCAGAGTGAGACCAGAACCAGAACTGAACACAGACGAGGAACCCGTTCTGGGTGCAGAATGGATCTGGACCAGTTTCTCGTGAGCTTCAGGATCAGAAGAACATCTTGCTCTGAATCCAGGACCAGAGAATTGTAAAATGCTTCCACCCTGCAGACGCAACAGAACCAGGAGGATCCGTATTGGACAGAGGAACGACCCGGTTCCTGTGACGGCCCGCCACCGAAGAGAAGCTTTAAATACTCCAAACTTTGATTTCCACACGTGAAATATACATTTTATACTTTAAAAACAAAAACAGCCTCTGTGTTCAAGAGAAACCTTCTGAGGACAGAACCAAAGGTTCTGAAGGTTTGGGTCCAGTGGTCTCAGGAGGAGCTGGAAGAGTTGGTTGACTCGAGCAGCTGCGGGTACGGCGTGGAGTCCAGAAGGTTCTGATCGAGGCTGGAAGCCTTCAGGGGAGAGCTGCAGCCCTGGGCCTGTGGGAAGCGCTGGTGGTACCGGTCCAGGCGCAGGTATTTGACCGTCACCAGCTTACCTGTCAACCAAAAACCAGAACTTTCAACATGAGCTGAAAAACACAGACAAGATGTTCACATGTGCTCTGAAGGAGGCGGTTCCCTTCAGGTCCAAACTGAACCCACAGCTGAAGTTTCACTAGAACCAGGAGCAGCAGCAGTTCTTTCATTTCTACACGTTAGTTCCACTGAGCCTGGAGGACTCGTCTGCAGAGACCTGCTTCTGACTGAGGACGACAGTGGACGCTCACGAAGAAAACAAGTGACAAGAACACGATGTTAAAAACTGGAACACAAACACCAGATCATAAGGTGCATGTAGAAACTACAAACAGGAACATCTGCAGCATCCAACATCTGCAGGAACTGAACAGATGTTTGAAGCCACTCAGAGAGGTCAAAGGTCGAGAGCTTCAGATCTTTTTACAAGATATTCCAGGAAACAGGAGCGGAGTAGGAGAAGGTCCTTTTGTCTAGTTCAGTCCTCACTGAGGGAACACTGCAGGTAATGATGTCCTGAGAGCGCACGCTGTAGCTGCACTCACACAGAGACATGTAGGAGGAGATGTATGAAGGCAGCAGACCAGGAAGTGATTTAAAGATGAAAATGTACCAGTGAGAGAGTCTGTGTGAAGTTAATGGTGACCAGTTAACCAGTGGATACTGGGTGCAGTGGTGGGTATGGTAGTTACAGCCAGTTATGAATCTTAGTGCACCATGATAGACAGCATCCAACATCTGCAGCATCCAACATCTGCAGCATCCAACATCTGCAGCATCCAACATCTGCAGCA